TTGGAGTCGAGTGTTTTTCGAATATACGAATAACTGAACTATTTGAAATATTATTATAGGCAAGATGCGATTATCTAACTGGCTTTGTCGATGTACGAAAGTCTGATCGTCTATCTGAAGTAAGAGAGAGCAATTTTAGGCGTCTATATTAAATTTAGGAATTTTGTGATCAAGCCTTACAGCTTTGTCAAAAAAAAAACTTACCATACTTTTTTGATTTCCAGTGGTAGCATAAAGTGACAAAACATGAGCAAGGTTAAAGTTCAACCCTGTTTCAGGCTGGGCTGGGTGATACAATCTGCTTACGACACTCAGACGTCGATGAATGTGCTCTAGGCCTACACAACTGCAGTGCGGCTGCAATCTGCACTGACACGAAATCCGGCTATGAATGTCGCTGCCCGGAGGGGTAATTTGGTTTTTTCTAAACGTTTTTCGATGTGATGATTGAAAATCGCCTATTATAGCTATACCGACGGTAATCCAGCTGAACCAGGACGAGTTTGCGGCATTGCTTTGTGGTCTGTGCAATGGACATGGTGATTGCATCCATGATAGTACGACCAACAATGTTACCTGTGCATGTGTTGAGGGATACACGGGACAATACTGCGAAGTAAGCTTTTTTGGGTAATAATGCCTGAGTATCGGTCGCTGCTATTGATAAGGACATTGATTATTAGCCATATGATCGTATTTAATTTATATACCGCTCAGGAGAATTTTTTGAACGAATTTGTTGTAGCGAGAACTAGTTTTCAACATTGAACTTGTGAAATTTCGGTATTCAGCGATTGCTTGCTTTTATAGTATAGTATAGTAGTTGCAGCTGTGTGCAGCGAAGGTATTGGCAAAGGAGGACCAGTTCTCGCTTATAAAGAGCAGCCTGGCAATGATGTAATTTTAATCGGAGAGCGCGTAGAAGGAGAAGCTCATTTGAGATTTCAAAAACACTCTTCTAAAAAAAAGGCGAAAATATGGAAATAGTACAGTTACTAGTAAAAATTTATAGGGCGAATTTGAACGACAACTTTAGAGGAAGAACTTACTTTTTTCTTATGAATATCGTTTCCAGCTTGCTCCCTCGAACGCTGGCCTAATCCTTATGACTATCCTTGCTCTGCTGTTCCTTCTTCTGACCT